TCTATTTAAGTCAAGTGTAAGTTTATTTAACTACAGCAGCAAGAAGGGCAATAAACTCTGGAAGCGAGGACTGTCCGGAGAATATTATCTTTTGAGTCCCAATCTGAAGTTGACAGTTGCTCTCAGTAGTTCTCCATAAATCATGGCTTATACTTAGCAGTACCTAAGCAGAGCAAAATCACACAGGCAATTTGTCTTCTTATAATCGAGGGACACTGTCAGTGACAAAAACAACACCTAGAAATGCAGCCCCAGCCAGAAGAATGGCCCTTCTCGGGCTCACAGGCATAACCCAGCCCCATTCAGCCCTTGTGGCACCCTGATGTGGAGGGTCTCCTCCCACCAGGAGCTGAAACCCACTGCTCTGCTGAGGGAGCCAGGGCTGTTGAAAATATCAGTGTTCTTACTGGAAGAAGGTAGAATACCAATATTGTTTTGATTTGCATTTCTCTAAAGGCCAAAGATGTTGTACATTATTTTTTATTATTTATTGCCCACTTGAACTACTACTTCTGAGAAGTGTCTATTCATTTCAGTTGCCCATTTTTTTAAATTGGGCCTTTTATTGGGGGAGGGAGTCTAAACTTTTTGAGTTCTTTATATATTCTAGATATTAGTCCTCTGAGTATTAGCTGACAAAAGCTTTTTCCCATTTGGTAAATTGTCTCTTCATGCTGCTGGTTTTTTGTTTGTTTGTTTGTTTGTTTGTTTGCTATGCAGAAGCTGTTTAATGTGATATAATCCATTTGTTGATTTTTGGTATTAGTTTTTTGTGCAATTAGGTTGTATAAGGAAGTAGAGATGGAAGGGAAACCTAGAGCAGGAGGAAGAAGAGCAAGCTGAGGGGTAGAGGCAGTAAAAGTGATCAAGATGAGACACGTATATGTATCAATCCCCCAAATGGAATAAAATCACTACTGCACCTAGCATTGTAAATATATACTAATAAAAAGTTGAACAGTAAAAAATAGTCTGTCCCTCTGAACTTGACGATGTTGTTGTCTTACCTGATTCCCTTCCTGTCACGCAAACCTGTTCGGTCTGCTCCAGAACTCAGGCCTCATTACTGTCTCTTCATTCTCTCCCTTCCTGATTTGTTCCTCACTCACCGATTCATTCAGCAATCAAGCTCTGCGCTCTGTTAAGTACTGGGTATCCTCAACTGAGGTCACTTTCTGAGCAGCCCGGTTCCCACATGGGGAGAAAGAGACATGGACAAATCAGACCACCTCAGTGTCTGTGACATTCCCAGTCTCCAAAAGTCGCATTTGCTTTATAACATGCCAGTAAAAATAGTTCTTCCCAGGTCAGCCCCTGTCCTTCCTCAAAGCTGGTTTTGCTTGCTTTTCTTTGGCTCCTCAAACTCCTCCTGGGCTTGTGGGTCTCCTCCATCTCCCACAGAGCCTTTTCTTCTTTACAAGAGACCATGTTCTGCATCCCGGGCCCAGCCATGGACACCACCTGCCTAGGTTGATGCTCACAGGGCTTGTGCCTAGCTGTTCCCTCTCTGTGTGGCAAAGAAGCTTGATGTTCTCTCACTTTGATGTTCTTGCACAGAAAAGCTTATGTTCTCTGCCATGAACAGTCCTTTTCTGCCTCCCTCCCTCCATGTTTCTCTCTCTCTCTCCCTCTGTCTCTCCCATCACTTCCAGATCTTCTAACTACGAAGCATCATTTAGTTGACTTCTAACCACAGAAATAAGAGGCATCCAGTTTGGTAAGAAAGAATAAGACTATCTGTATCACAGATAGCATGATCTTGTTTAAAGAAAATCCTAAAGAATCCACTGGAAAAAACTATTAGAATTAGTAAAGGAGCTTAGCAAGTTTGCAGAATACAAATCAATATACAAAATAATATCTTATAGTTGCAAAATAATATCTTATAATTGCAAAATAATATTTTATAAGAATAAAATAGTTGGGAATGTATTTAACAAAATAGCATAAAACTTGTACTCTGACAACTATAAATTATTGTTGAGAGCAATTAAGACACAAAACTGATAAGTCACAAGACAATCCACCCTACCCATGGGAGATTTAAACTCTTTTATTAAGGAGTTAATAAAAACCTCTTCCTCTTCACCTGTTCCCCTCCAGTTCCCCTCAACACAAGCCAACCTCTCCCTCATCCACCTTGGCAGAACCAGATGTTTAGCTCTTGCAGATGACATCCCCCGCTTGGGCTGTCCTGACCTACAAACATCCCTTGCTCGGGCTGTTCTGGCCCATGGACATCCCCTCCTGGAAAATGTTCTGGCCCACAGACACCCTCCCCAAAAGTTAGCTTTAAAAACCCCATGCTTTTCTCAGCTTGGGGCTGTCCTAGTCCGCTGGGCAAACCGCCATGTCAGTTTCCCCCCGAAAAAAGACTCCTCTAGTGTCAGAAGGTCTGGTCTGGTTCTGTGTGGGTCTCCACCCAGTCATATCAAAAACCACCCATGTGAAGGTCAATGCAATGGCTCAATATTGCTATCTTCTAAGACAGTAAGAAAATGATCATTTTGTTTGGCTGCAAGTTTCCTGCCCCGATGAGTCTTGAATGATAGGAGTGAGAGAACACTCTGGAATATTTATCTGCCAGATGACAGAGGCCCCTTCACTTGCAGTGCAGTATTAACTCTTGGTAACTTCAGGAGACTTTTCTACCCATGACATACAGCAATTCGCCAGCTTTCTTTGTGTGCTGTACAACAGGTGTGAATAAGAATGTGCAATAGCGAGGAGGCCAAACCCAACATTCAGTGGCTGTGTGGCTACAAAGGCCACATTATTGACAAAGCTTTCAAACCCAGCAGCATGGGCTAGCCAAGGCTGTGTCACCCGTGTGTTTCTGGAGCAGGTGCTAGAGGTGAAACTCAGATTTTCAGGATCCTCCAAGTCACCCAGTAGGCACAACCCCAGCCTACAGGAAAGCCAGCGCAGATCTGTACTCCTGCCTCTTCCTCCAGACCAGCCTCAGGGACGTGGTCAAGGAGCCCCAGGGTCCTGGGTGTTCAGTGCACCCCCAGCCCCAGCCTTTCAAACGGTCCCAGACTCATTCCCACCAAGGTGGACATAATGATAAAGAGCTTCAGGAGTATTTTTTAATTAAAGTTAGGATAGTGAAGATTTATTTGGGGATCCTCATAGAGTTCAGGCCTAATTAAGCTCATCATGTATTTTCAAAGCTATTTCTCTATCTTATTTACCTAGTCTTTGAGTGGCCTTATTCTTCTGCTCATTCAGACTCAAATTTTTGCTCTTTCTCACAATTTTAACCTTGGGCATGGCCGATACCTTACTTTTGTACTCGTTCTGTGCATGGACAAACATTCATGTCGATCCTCTTCCATGACACACTGTGGAAGCTCTAACTGTGGGCTGAGTGGGTGCCGAAGGCCATGCCCATCCCTCCAGGAATCTTCAGCCAGGACAGAGAAACTGCAAGCCTCACCCAGCCAAGGTCACTTGATCTCTTCTCTCACTGCAAAGCTTTCCATGGCTGCTCATATGTAGTAAAGCTATATCTGCATTTTTACCCCTCTTTTAACTCAAATCTCCCACAGTGTGAGTTAGTTACCTTTCCTCCATTCTCTCCATTGATTCTAAAAATGCAGACCAAAGCAAAAGTTTAAAAATTTTACATGCCATATTTTCCCTAAAATGGTTCAATTTGAAAAAACTATGGCATTTTTTAGAAAAATTAATGTATGTTTTAGGTAAATATTCTAAGTTACTCATGTTTTCATATCCCCCAGTTAAATAGGAACATTTCACATAAAAGTAATAATAAAGAAGGTGAGAAGAAACGAGGAGATGATAGGCATATTTATAACAGTGATTTTGATGATGATTTCAGGCATGTAAACTAATCTCCAAATCGTCACGTTGTATACACTAAACATACCACTTTCTGTATGTTGATCATACTTCAGAAAAATGGATGGAAAATGAAAAAAAACTTCACATAAAATGTGTAGCAGATATTGCCCTTCATTTAGAATTAATTTTTGCCCAATATTCCTTACCAAATTGTCCATGAAAAGGCAACTATCTGAGAATTGAAATGATCTCTACTTAAAATAGCAAGAAAAATAAAAATGAGAATTTGTATCACAAAGAGAAGTATTTTGGTTATCACTTTAAAAGATTTCTCACCACTGTAGGAGCGAACAAACAAGTCCTTATACAAATTTGAGTGAAAAAAAGGATGATTTATGGACATGGGTAATCAAAGACCCCAGACAGGTGTGAACATTTGACCTGGACTCTACACAACAGTTCAGATTTCCACAGGGGGAGATGGAATGGGAAAAATATGGAAGGCAGAGGAAAACCAGGTGCAACACTCCGCTGGTGAGAAAGTTTGGCACATGTTCTGGGGGCACAAGTCCCTCATAGGATGGCCTTCAGGGTGGAGCTTATGTGAAGCAATAGCAGATGAGAGAGCTGGGAGAAGAGGGGGTTTTGCAGACCCATAGACTTGCCATACTGATGATATATCCTCAAACCTAAGACATCTTGGCTTGTACAACACCCAATAAACGCCGCCAATAAAACAATGACAAGCCACTGACTATAAGAGCCTCCCAATTTTAACAATGCACAAATCACTCAAAATTGCAGCTACAGTCTGAACGTGTCCCTCAAAGTTCACATGGATGGAAATTAACCCACTATGCAACAGTGTTGGGAGATGGGGCCCAAGGGGCGGTGATTAGGTCACAAAGGCTCTGCTGGATGGATGGACTTGTGCCATTATCATGGAAGGTGGCCTGTTGTCGAAGAGCAGATTTGCCCTAAAAGCAAGTAAACATCATCTTGTGTGTTCGTGAGTGAACTTGCTCACCTTTCTACCCTCCCTTATGTGACAATGCAGCCCAAAGACCCCCTCCAGAACTGTAAGAACATGTTTCCTTTCTTTATGAGCTATCCTGGTCTGTGGTATTTTGTTACAGAAGCACCAAATGGAGTAAGATAAACATCCTGGAACTGAGGAAACACTTTAAGTGAGGAGACCGAAGCTGTACGGTGAGGAGAAGCAAGCATGAAAGATGATTTCAATAAAGCGAGCGTGCTTCGCCTTAGGACAACAACACTGGCTCTGACGTTATGCGCCTGAGTGAGGTGAGTATTTGGGGCCAATGGGCATTTTGGTCCCTATAAAATTCCAGCATCCTATTCTGTGGCACTGAAAGCCATGGCAGAAGAGCACAGCTGCCCCGCTGGAGCTGTACATCTTGATCTGTCCAGACTGTACAGACTTGTCATACAGGCCTCTGCAGAGGAAGGAGAGGACTAAAGCATAGAATCTTCATCTTCTCTGCTCTCCCAGAGCACACAGCCCCACCTGACTGATACGGGGAAAGAGCCCTGGCCTGTTCTTTCCCTTGTCAGGTTGTGCACAGCTTAGGAAAATTGAGGTGGACAATGAGCTGCATTTTCTAGAAAAATCAGCTGGGTTTTTTCCATTTGCGTACTTAAGATAAAACACAAACAAATCAAAAATAGCTTGGAGTCCTGACTTTGAAGTCCAGAGAAATCTATGGATTGAATTTTTAAGAATCATCTGTAGACAAAAAAGGGGAGCTATAGCCCTTAATTTAAGACCAAAAAACATCCTTTCTGAGCTGCTCCACCACTTTAATGCACATGCGTGCACACACACACACACACACACACACACACACACACACACATGCCAGTGAGACGATGGACTGGTTGCAGAAAAACAGATATAAATTTTTATTATGAGATACTGGCTGTCATGAGATTTTCAGGCATAACCTAGAAATAGGTGAGTTTTTAAAATTTATTTCATGTAAGAGTACTGCTGGCTATACATTTGTCTGCAGTGACGTTAAAGACACCAAACCAAAGTCATGCATGCATATTTCATTAGTAGATAATTATGTTCATTATAATTGGCTTCTAAATAAGACCATTTCACACAATTATGGTGTTTTCTTTGCCTATTCAGTCAATTGAAAAGATAATAACATAGTGCTTTGTTATCAAAAGAGCATATTCTTAACCTCTATTATATAGTAAAGGAGATAAACTAAAATAAACATATCATTATTTTCCATATGTGAAATGCTTTTGCTGAAATGCACCCTACATTCAAGAGAAAGCAGAAGACTTCAAAGATGTTTCTAAATATATCAGGTATAACAAAATACCACGAGGACAATTTGATGGCAGGGACAGATTTTAAAAATCAATAATGAAGTCATGCTGTTTAAAATGCTGAAATCATTTTTCACCCAAATGAAAAAAGAAAATTGGGCCTTAACAAAGGCCAGAAAATAACTACTACCAAAGGAGCTGCAAGAGCCCTGTACTTAGAAAAATCAACAGACATTTCCTGAACAATGTGCCAGGGGCTAAGGATAGAACAGTGAAGAGGAGAAAGTCTGCTGGAGCTTAAAGGTGACACCTGTGCTCACAGCGCATACATTCTCTCATACACACACACACACACACACACACGTACAATGAAGGCACATGTAGAGGGGAAGTGAGGAAGAGTTCAGGAAGACTGTAAAGCAACAGCTAAAAGCACAGACTGCAAATCCCCGTTCTACTAACCTTGACCAACCAATTCTAATGTTCTGTGCTTCAGTTTTCCTAACTGCGAAATGGAAAAAATATGAGTATGTATACCTACTGCATAGGAATCGTGTAAAGTGATTAACATAAGTAAAGTGCAGATTAACATATGTAAAGTGCTTAAAACAGTGATGGGCATAGTGTAGCCATTGTTATAAGCTTCCAACTCCTGTACATAGGTTCTCCAGGGTAAAAGTGCAGTTCAGGGAGTTTCCCAGGGACACCTTTTCATTTTTAACACTCCCTGATGTGAGGATACCCCCATTTAACTGTAAAGCCCCAGCTCTAGACAATAATGGGCATTTCATCCACATTAGTCCCACCCTTCCCTTCCTATTCCCTACTTAAAATGCTGCCTTCTCTCAATAGCCTCCCAAGGGCTCCACCGCCAAAATTGCATCATCCTTCCATCCTCATTTGGAAAACAAAGGCTGTGCTTATGGATAGAATTTTATTTTGTTATATCATCTTACCTTTATTTTTAATGAAGATGAAGATTATTTTTTTCTTTTAAAATTTTCTTATGTAAAATTTCCTTAATTTTAAATCTTCCCCTGTACCTTTTTTTACATAGCTGGTTTCTTTACTTCTAATATACTTCCATGAGATAGAATCTGCATTAGCCCACAATTCAGCATTTGGATCTTATAAATGATACACATAAAATGCCATCTTTTGCCAGACAGGTTTGAGGGCCATTGTTTCAAGATAAGGTGCTGGATACAGGGAGGAGGGGGAGACGCCTGTGGGCATTTTGTGACAGGAAGAAAAGGAGAAGAGGAAGAGTTATGATGGGCTCAGAGACTGGGAAAAACAACAACATGCAAAAATTCATTTGAAGCAATGCGGGATATTTCAGGAATCAAAGTGCTTTGAGTCAGGTGATTTGCCAAAGCAGGGATATTCTAACAGAGGACATAGATGAGAGAATCCTGGAGATGAATTTGGGCGGAGGGACCCTGCCTGGAAGCTGCCTGATTCTGCCTTCTCAGGTAGCCAGCTTGCCAGGCTCATCTGACAGGGGAGGTCACCAAGTGTCTGTGGCCAGTGTTGGGAGGGCCACATGAACAAGTGGGATGAGGGACAGTGGTGTTGGGCAGGGACAGAACTGCAGGGTCTAATTCCAACTTATGAGTTTTTTCCCTGTGAAGCAGTAGGTGGTGTGCAAGACTACCGTGAAGGACCCAGGGGATGAAGTGCTGGAGAAGATGGAACGCCCTTGAACAGGAGGGAATAGGTCTGTCCGTGCAGAACAGTCTTGGGGACCCCTGAGAGACAGCAGCTCAGTCACCAGCACCCGTCACATGGGGGATGCAGGAACACAGCAGGGGCACCTCCCTTAGCATGAACAGGTGAAGAGTGAAGTTCACAACTTTATGGCATTTTTCTTTCAGGCTCCACCTTAGATGGTATTTCAGCTTCTTCAAAGCCAAACTTTGAAGTACAGAGAGAATGAAGGAGTGCATAGGGACTGTGCATGGCCCATTTTTCACAGGCTCATTTCAGGTCCCCACAGTCAGGACACTGCTGTGGATTCTGACAGTGTGTGGTATCGTCATGTTGGTCTTGAGTGACTGACTTTAACATTCATTTTGCCCTTCACCTTCAATAAGGGACTCTGGGCACCGTGTCCCCACCAACTGCTGTCCCTTTCAATACCACTCACTGCCCCCACCACCACCTGTAGCCCCAGTTTGTCACATCAACTGCTGCCTTCACCCTACCCACCGTGTCCCCAACCCTTATGCCCACCAATCTTCTCCCTGCCCCCACCTCATGCAGACCCATCCCAACCCCACCTTCATTTGCTTCTCAGCTCATGTTCTAGGCAAAGAATGAATGTGAGACTCATTAACTAATAAAAAATTTAAAATATCAGGTTCTGTGCCCCTAAATAGATGTTCTGACATTATACCTTACTCCAATCATGCAGCATTTCCCTAAAGCACTGTCAGCTCTCTGCTGGGGTTGCCTTCAAACATTTACCACCCACAAAAGAATACTCCTCTCAGCGGGTCATATCAGAGACACACTTACCCCACTTCAGTCCAAAAGCACTGGACGTTGGTAGATGAAATTCAATGACTGGGGGTTTTTTTGTCTTACATTTACTACCTACTAACTCTGCCGATTCAGATGTAAACCCACAAGGCCCCAGCACCTTCATTTTTCTAGAAAAATAGGAAGGGCTGCTCTAGTTTGTAGGGATCAAATAAGTAACCATGGAAGGAAGCATGTTAATGGCCAGGATGTAGCTCAGTGGCACAAGTACCTGATGGTAAGCTCAAGGTCCTGAATTTGATTCCCCATAAAAAGAAGGCATGTTTAGTACCACACAGCATTGTATCAGATTTTAAAACTATTTTCTTTCTTCTCCATTCCTTCTGCTAACTTTGGTCTTCTTTTGTTTTTCTTTTTCTAGTTTCCTGAGATAGAAAGCTAGATTGTTTATATTTGAGATCACTCCTTTTTCTTAATGTAAGCATTTATCACTATAAACTTCCCACTTAGAACAGCACCCCGTAAGCTTTGGTATGTTGTACTTCCATTTCCATTTGTTTCAATGTATTTTTATTTCCACTTTGTGTTTTTTTTCTTTTCCTTTTTTTAAACATTGTTTGAAGTATGTCGTTTAATCTCCATGTATTTGTGAATTTCCAAATTTTCCTCCTCATCAATTTCTGGTTTCATGTCATTGGGACAAGAAAAGATAATTAATAAATGTCAACTTTCTTAAATTTGGTAAGACTTGTGTTGTAGCCTAACATATGATCTATTCAGGAGAATGTTTTGTATAAGCTTGAGAAAAACATATATTATACTGCTTTAGGTAGAATATTCCACATTTCTGTTAGCTCCATTTGGCCTAAAGTGTAATTCAAGTCCAATGTTTCCTTATTGATATTCTCTCTGAATGTTCTATCCAATGTTAAAAGTGAGATAATAAAGTCCTTTAGAATTATTGTTTTATAATCTATTTCTCCCTTTAGATCTCCTAATATTTGCTCTCAATATTTAGTTACTCCAGTATGGTGTGCATATATATTCACTATTGCTATATCCTCTGCATGAATTAAACTTGTTATCATTATATAATTATGTCCTTTGTCTCTTGCAACTATTGACTTAAAGTCTACTTAGTCTGGTATAACTACTTGTACTCTCTCTAGGCTTTCATCTGTATAAAAAAAGTTTTTCCACACTGTAACGTTCAGCCTATGTGTGTCCTTAAAACTAAGATAAGTCTCTTGTTCTCAAATATTGTTGAGTTTATTCTTTTTATCCCTCTGGAACTCTATCTTCTGATTAGAGTATTTAATTCACTAATATTTAAAGTAATTATTGATAAGTATTACCATTGCCATTTTATTTGTGCCAGGAGGGGTCCTATGAACCACAATTTCCCTTGCAATCTTTACTGATACTGACCTCAGCTGATAGAACTGCACGCATGCAAGTTCCTTAGCAGCCAAAGCCTTGGGTATCAGCAATGGTTGCAAGCCCTGTTACACTGATGAAGGCTGCTGAGTTCCTCCTAATCTGTTCTTCTCCCACAGGAGAAGTTCTGACCAAGGGGATTCTTCTTGAAGCCAGGTCCAGTTCACAAAACGCTGGTGTTTGTGGTGGCACCAGTCTGCTGTACAGTACCTGTACGGTAGCCACAGAAGGAGGGGCTGGAAGTAGGGTACACATGGAGGACTATGGCTCCTGGGTCTGAGGTGGCAGTATCACTGTGCCCACAGTGTAGACAACCCACTATTGTGCTGGTGACAGTGTGTGATGCACAGGACAGGGGAGCTAGCAGCCAATGTCTACAGCATGGGCTTCAATAGATCCAGGATATAAGGTACAGGCTCACAAGCTGTGGTAAGAACTCCCATGTCAAAAGCATGAGACATTAGAGTACCTCAGCTCTGGGATCCAGGGCATGCATGCGGTGTGTTGGGAGACCGCCTCCATTCTGGAGGGACAGTAACAGTATTTCTCTGTCCTGAGGGTCCACAGCAGTGATGGATGTCAGTTACTTCAGCAGTAAAAACTTCTGTTTTTGTTTTTGTTTTTTGGTTTTTCTCCGGTACCGGGAACCGAACTCACGACCTTGCACTTGCCAGGCAGGCGCTTTGCCTCTGAGCTAAATCCCCAGCCCCTAGTAAAAACTTCTGATGTCCTCTACAGAGCAGGGTGTTGGGGTCTGCTCAAAGAACCTCTGATATAAAAGCTGAGGAGAGTCCACAGCTTCCATGGGGACTGTTGAGGTCTTCAATGACAAAGGCTGCCAGCACCCCCAACAGAGCACAGGGCAGGGGGACCCCCTGGTACCCACCGCATGGTTGACACTGACAGCCTATGACAGTCAGTGATGGCGAACCTTTTAGAGACAGAGTGCCCAAACTGCAATTCAAAACCCAGTTATTATTGCAAAGTGCCAGCACTATAATTAAATCTGAATAGTGAGGTTTCAGTTTAGAAAAAACAACTGTTATCCGATGGTCAGTTGCTGGGTTGACCCGGCTCACATACAAACAGAGAGGGCTCTGCGTGGTCACTTTGGTACATGGGCCGTCGCACCTTCGTCTTTGTTGTCCGCTGTCTCCAGATGTCTCAGGTACACTAATCTCCTCAGAGACCTTTTCTGTGTTGTTATTCCCTGGTTTTCGTTCCACTGTGCTGTCCCAGATTTTTAAATGGACTCCCGAGCTTTCTTCATTCGTGGATGGTTATCTCATCACTGCTTTCTGTGGGAGGACAAAATCTGGTATTTCCTCCACCACCTTCCTGACATCATCTTCTATTTATTCTTGCAATAAATATTTACCAGCCACAGGCCATGTGTCAAGACTGTCCAAGGTATTTTAGACAAAGAGGAAAATAAAGCAGTCAAGATGCCTGACTTCACTGAGTGTACATTTTATTTATTTTATTTTATTTTAAAGTGTCAGGTATGTCCTTCAAGCTAGAATTGAAGCAGTGCTTTAAGGATGCCCACAGATGCCTGTTGGGTCTACAGCCCTCTGCTCTACCAAGAGAGCTTGAGTCTACATTTTAGAGAAAGAAGACAAATAACTCATAAACAAATAGCTAAATAAACTCAATAACAAATAGCTCATACTAAGATTTCAGAAAACCTAAGTTAACATGAAAATTAACAACAGAAAAGTTTCTAGGAAAAATCATATGCAGGTTTTTGTAAGAAAAAAAAGAGAGTAAGTAGCAGAATAACATCTTTATGGGCAATTTAAGCACTGTAGAAAGACATTCCCATGAAGAAGATCAATTAACTTACTAGTCAAATGATGTAAGACATTTTTAAAGTATATAAGACATGAAAGAACAAAAATATCAGAATTTTTTAAGACTCAGAGATGAAATAGCAGGATTAAGGAAAAAACCAGACAAAATATCACTTCAGAATTAAAGACTAAACTAGAAGAGACATGGTAATGAATAAACATGAGAAATAACGCCATAAGAAAGAAAAGACACAAGAAACTTTTTTAAAACAAAGAAAAGAGAGATAAAAAGGGTTTGAGAGAAGGTAACACATATTGAGAATCTGCAATGAAGATCACAGGAACCCTAAAGAAGAAAGCCAAAGCCAGATAATACAACAAATACTAAAAAGTATAATTCAGAAAAGCTTTTCCTGAGATAAAAGAAAGATGAAATCACAGGTTGAAAGAGCCCATTTTGTAACTAAGACTGTTGACCTAGAACAACTGTCTTGGTTATTTTTCTCTCGTTGTTGGGACAAAATGTCTGATGCCCAAAATTAAGGAAGGAAAGGTTTATTTTGCTTATAGTTCGTGGAAGTTTTAGCCTGTACTTGGCAGATTATAAGGCAGAGTGGCACGTGGCAGAGAGCTGCATCTCAGGGCAGCAGCACACAGCTGAGCCGCATGCACACACCAGGGCAGAATGGGGGAGGAATCCCCCAAGCAGCTTCTTCCTCTCCCTTACATAAGCAAACTATCCACTCCAGGGCGGGTGCAGCTCTCACACCCATATTCAAACTCTAAAAGCCTGCACCATGTCTGCATGAGGCATTGGGGGGACACACAGACATAAACCATAACAACAACCAACTCTAAGTGATAATTTAGTAAAATTACTGGTGAGAAAGAGATGTTTTTATATCTAGAAAAAACATATAACTCAAGAAAAGAAGGTTATAGTAGCATCAAATTTCTCAAAAGAAACACACCTAAAGAAAATGGCATAAGGTATTTAGAATCCTTTTGGAAGGAATGTTTGAGCCATTGGTTGTATACCTAGTGAAACTGACTTTCAAATATAAAAGAGAGATGGACCAATATCAAAATGCAAGAGCAGAAGGAATGCTGTTTTCATGAGCATTTCCAAGAATCTACAAGAGAATGAACTTCAGAAAACAGAAATGACTAGAAAGACATGAGATAGATAGTGAATGATAAATGCAGTTACCTGCAGAATTAAGATGAACCAAGCTCAGAAGGAAAGTGTATATAGATTGCAATGGCTATGGACCCCCTAGATTCACTATGACTCTAACTTTGATGGGTTGAATATCCCAGGCGTGGTGGCACACACTTGTATTTCTAGCACTCTGAGGCAGAAAAGGAAGATAACTAGTTTGAGCCCAGCCTGGGCACCTCGGTGACTTAGGGAGAACCTGTCTCAAAATTTTAAAATGGCCTGGGGGAGTACCTCAGTGTAAAAGCCCTGGGTTCAATCTGTAGTATCAGAAAAAATTAATGGAGAGAATACATGCCATTTTGTTCACTGGTCGTATCAATTTCAGTATTAATATTCTGAATTGGCAGTGT